CGCAGCCAAATACACCAAAGGCTACTACTCGTCCGTCGTTTCACTTGCCCAGCTCATTTGCACCCTTTGAGAATTACCGGTCGAATTTCTTCCCGCGCCGGGGGAGCACTGGTAATTTTATCCCGCAGCAGCGGGAGGGAGTTTCGGAAGATGAGGGTCGTGACCGGTTGAACAGGGATACGGCATGGAGGCGAAGAAGTGTCTGGCTTGCGAATGCGAGAGGACTTACTTATGGCGGACGTCAGCTGGACACTCCAACAAACCCCGACGAGAGAAGACCGAGCAACCTCAGAAGACTGACCGGGCTGGCTGGCCCATCTGACAACGCCGAGGGTACCGCGCCACCTTGGCGGCGCCACCGGGCTGATCGGGGTTCTAGCCTGAGCGCTCAAAAATGGCGTCAGATCAAAGCTGGACTCAAGTTGATTGGGCAGAGACGCAAAGTGGATAATACTGTCGATCATGCAAAATCAGCAGAACTTCTGGCAGAACTTACGTCCGGGGTGCCGGCCGCCCTCATTCTAGCCAGCATGTTCCAGAGGGACGAGCATGGAAGCAAGCGCATTCCAATTTTACTCGAACAGCTCAAGGTGCGGGTCACCGATAGCAAGATTGATTCACACTCCGGCGACCGCCATCTGGTTTTTCGTATCGAGCTTGAGTACGGAAGTGGAATGACACGGATGAAGTGGATTATACACCGTACCCTAAGAGACTTTGCCAATATCCATCTGAAGTACAAGCTGCACTTTGGAACGCAGAAGTACATTCAATTACGGAACACTGAAGGTGGACACAACCTCCCGCGCTTTCCGCGCAGTGCGTTTCCTTATCTTCGAGGTGTGCGCGGCTTAGAAAGTGACATGGAAGATGAGGAGGACGATGGTGGATATGAGACGGCGGCAGAGGTAACAAGCGGCAACGAAAGGGGCGGTAAGAAGCAGCATCAGCAATTACCGCGGCGCCCATCTGGTGCCATGTCTCGAAGACAGTCGAGTGCGACAATCCCAGATGGAGAGAATCCTGCAGGCTCATCCGGGCCGGTAGAAGCTGGGTTCGCTAACAAGAGAGAGACTTACCCGGAGAGGCAACGAAAGAAGCTGGAATCGTACCTACAGAAGCTAATCCGGTTTCTTATCTTTAAGCCAGATAGCAACCGCCTGTGCAAATTCCTCGAGCTTTCGGCACTAGGTGTCCGTCTTGCCGCTGAAGGGAGTTATCATGGCAAGGAAGGATATCTTGTTATCCAGTCGTCCAAAGGCCTTGATTTCCGGAGAGCCCTGACTCCAGGCATGGTAAAAAAACGCCACTCCCCCAAATGGTTTCTTGTGAGGCACAGCTACGTCGTATGCGTCGATTCGCCGGAGGAGATGAATATTTATGATGTGTTCTTGGTAGATCCCTTTTTCAAACTCCAGACTCAGAAGGTTAGCTTGCGCAACCAGAAGGCAAAGGACTTTGCCAAGTCTGCAACGGAGTCAGCTCGACACCCGCAGCATCACACTCTAAGACTCGAGAACTCGGAGCGAAAGCTCAGACTGCTGGCCAGGAATGAGCGGCAACTCCACCAATTCGAGGACTCAATACGGTTCATGGTCAATAACACCCCCTGGGCGAGACCGAACCGATTTGAGAGCTTTGCTCCTGTACGGCAGAAGTGCTTCGCGCAATGGTTGGTGGATGCGCGTGATCACATGTGGGTTGTGTCCCGCGCGATCAACCAGGCTAAAGATGTCATCTATATTCATGACTGGTGGCTCAGCCCTGAGCTCTACATGCGTCGACCGGCCGCTATCAGCCAGAAATGGCGCTTAGACCGTCTGCTACAGCGTAAGGCGCGTGAAGGTGTGAAGATTTTTGTGATCATGTATCGAAACATCAACTCCGCCATTCCAATCGATTCGGAGTACTCCAAGTTCTCTCTACTCGATCTACACCCGAATGTCTTTGTTCAACGTTCGCCCAATCAATTCCGGCAGAACACCTTCTTCTGGGCACACCATGAGAAGCTATGCATTATCGACCACACTCTGGCCTTTGTTGGGGGTATTGATTTGTGTTTCGGAAGATGGGACACGCCTCAACATCTCTTGACGGATGATAAGCCAACGGGCTTCGAGACACGGGAGGGACCAAAGGACGCGGATCATTGCCAGCTCTGGCCCGGCAAGGACTACTCGAACCCTCGGATACAAGATTTCTACGATCTCGACAAACCGTACGAAGAGATGTATGATCGGAATATCATTCCCAGGATGCCTTGGCATGATATCTCAATGCATGTAGTGGGTCAGCCGGCTCGAGACCTCACGCGCCATTTTGTCCAAAGGTGGAATTACATCTTGCGCCAGCGAAAACCAACCCGTCCAACGCCTTTCTTACTCCCGCCTCCTGATTTCGATGCGGCTGATCTGGAAGCTCTCGGTCTTGATGGGACCTGCGAGGTCCAGATTTTACGTTCTAGTAGCATGTGGTCGACAGGCACACCGGACACAACCGAACACAGCATCATGAACGCCTACGTGAAACTGATTGAGGAATCCGATCATTTCGTATATATTGAGAACCAGTTTTTCATCAGCACCTGCGAGATTGACGGTAGAAAAATCGAGAATCTGATCGGGGACGCATTGGTAGAGCGCATCACGCGGGCTGCAAAGAACAAAGAAGCATGGCGTGCCGTGATTGTCATTCCATTGATGCCTGGTTTCCAGAACACGGTTGATAGCGAGGGTGGAACTAGCGTCCGCCTTATCATGATGTGCCAATATCGAAGTATCTGTCGTGGTGAGACGTCAATCTTTGGACGGTTACGAGCATTGGGAATCGAGCCTGAGGATTATATTCAATTCTTCAGCCTCCGGTCATGGGGAAAAATCGGTCCGCAAAAACAGCTCGTGACTGAGCAGCTGTACATTCATGCTAAATGTATGGTCGTTGATGATCGCGCGGCTATCATCGGTTCCGCGAATATCAACGAACGGTCGATGCTCGGATCACGCGACTCTGAAGTTGCGGCGGTTGTTCGTGATACGGACATGATATGGTCTAGCATGAACGGCCGTCCCTACCTTGTGGGCCGTTTCCCGCACACCCTTCGCATGCGCCTTATGAGAGAGCATCTTGGTGTCGATGTCGATGAGCTGATGGAACATTCTTTGGCGACCGAGGAAGAGCTACTAAGGATTCAAATTGCCGAAGAGGGGTCCAAGCCATCTGATATCAACGAGGCGCCTGACTCCGAGTCTCTCATGCTGGAGAAGAGGGACGAGAGAGACATGATTGAACGCCGCCACCGCATTCAGGATGAGTTTCTCTCTCGTTCGGAAGACATGCACAGTTTCAACCATGACGTAGACTGGGAGCAGGGGAACAACCCCAATCTCAAGTCGAATAGGAAGCTCACTGCAGACCCGAGGGTAACCTCTAACCCAGAACACAAGAAAGATGTGGATGGTCTCGGGCCAGACCATTTGCAAGTGGCTCAGGAGGCAGGCCTCGAAAAGGGTCGAGATTCCGAGATCCTGGAGGACAAGGCCGAGGTTCTGATTTCGCCTATTGCATCGGAGGGTAAAGGCACGCTGCAACAACCTAAACCCAAACGTCCTTCACAACGCACTGTGCGGCATACCAACCCTCATGGCACGAACGATGCCAGACAGGCACATTCTAATCTAGTCGCACAGGGCAATGAATGTGCACACGTTGTTGAAGGCGCGCCAAATATTCGACACCCAGCGCTAGCTCCGGAGCACGAGACAGAAACCAGCAACAGCGGCAATCTGACGGCTTCACGAGACATTGGTGACAACGCCAAGTCTTACCTGTACGCTCCTGAGGTGAAGCATATATTCATCGACAAAGATTGTATGAGGGACCCTATACTTGATCTCTTTTACTTGGATACCTGGTCTGCCGTCGCCGAAAAGAACACCAAGGTCTTTCGTAGTGTTTTCCGCTGCATGCCTGATAGCGAGGTGAAATCCTGGAAGGAATATAAAGAGTACACCGCTTATGGGGATCGATTTGCTGAAATGCAGAACCAACACGGTGCCAAGGTTCCGCAGCCTTCGAGTCAGCGACAAACCGGACCCCCAGGCACAGCTGCCGGCTTCCCTGGAGCAGCTGCCGGAATCAAGCACAGTCTGGCATCACACAGCCACGGTACCGAGGCCCATAAGGTGGAACGCAAAGAGAAAACCACCGTCGAGAAACCAGGAAATTGCGAGAGTGGATCAATACAGGGCTCGAACGAGCAAGAACATGAGACGGCGAATCATGAAGGACTGTCGCCTATAGATGAAAAGTCTGCCCTAAAAGCAGCCGACGGCTCAGCATGCCGGCGGGTGCAGAATGGACGGACCGAGGATAGCGGCTCCTCTGGAGAGGACGTCGAGAAACACCGGTCAGATCGCCCTGCCATCGAGTATTCTGACGCATTGAACAGAAACGCTACCGGTCAGTCGCGGCGGCGGAGACGACGAGCAACAACACTCGGGTCGAAGCGTGACTTCCATGCGGAAGAAGTGATGGACAAACAGCGAGCGGAAGACTTGTTGAATCAGGTTCAGGGTCATCTTATTCTCTGGCCTTACGACTGGTTAGTCCTTCACGATCCCCAAAACAGTCATCTTCCAAATTCGCTGACCTTATTAATTCAACTTAGGCTTGAAAAAGAAGAACAAGGCGGAAACTGGCTATATACATTAGACCAAATATCCCCACTGGAAATCTAGTGCGTGTCCCTTTCTCTCCTCTCGACTTACGGCTATGGTTATCCTCTAACTGTCAAACAGCAACTAGCATGATTCCTTGCCGCTTCCTGCTTCCTTCTTCGGTTCTCGACCGCTTTCCATCTCCCTGGGCCTTGATGAACCTCCGCTACCATCCGGTACTTTTTGCAGATGCTCTCTTTGACATGTATATATGCCCTTCACGATACCAAGACGGACCATTGGGTTGGGTGATATGCACTCCTATGCATACCTAAGCAAGCGGGCCTTCTTCTACAATAATACTTTTTCAATTCACCTGTGATAGCTTGTCCCATACTGATTTGATGGGTAACAAAGCAGATGCATCGGGAGTTGTTCATGTTTAGACACAAATAACAGCGAAGATGAGTATTGTAAACGATGAAGAATAGAACCCCCTGGGCTCCAGCCCTGCGTACAAGGTACACAAGTGAAGTGAAAGTCTAGTTGCTGCGATGCGGTGAGAGCTCTTTCCTAGATGCGAGAAGTTCGCGCATCTGTTCAGTCTTGTTAAAAGGTGTTCGGATGATGGAGCCCAAAAGACTCGTGGTCGGAGTGACGCGCCCCCCGGACCATTCCGCAAGGCAGGTGCGGAGCACTTGGTATGCGTCCCTGAAAGTCATCTGTACGAACGCCGTGTGCAGACAAGGCACGCCTATGTCCACCATGTAATTTGTGGGGTCCTGAACACATAGTCGCTGTGCCAAAGCATAGTTGCCCCTCTCCAGGGCAGTTTTCCTTCGACGCAGGAGGGAAGCTTGGCCACGAAGGTGGACGGGCCAATTGACTTTTTCACCATACTCTTGGTAGACTCTTCTCATCGAGCGCTGGTCGAAGAGGCCAGGAGGGTCAGCGGCGACCCCGGACTTCTGGAGGTTGACCTCTAGTCCGAACTTGTGCAAGAATGCGAGAAGTTGCTCACCCAAGTCATCGTTTCCGAGAAATTGGCCATGGCTCATCTTCAAGAAGTTTGCAAGTAGAACGGCGAGCGCAGGGTGGGTGATCCCTGCACCAGTTTTACCATACAAGATATTGTTTTGCAAGACAAGGCGACTTGCCACAAACAAATACCGGAATGATGGATATTCAGCCTGCCAATTCCTTATATGTTCATACAGGCCGTGGTAATTGTCACCACAGTGGAACGACAGCCTGAGACGTGTTTCACGGTGGCGTACGTCGAGGATGCCAGTGTGATTTGACTTAATGTTGGCCGAGGTGTGGCGCAGTATTACATAGGACGGATGGCCCTGAAGTTTACTCTCGACCTTTCTCAGGAGGTCTGCGTACTGGCTGACCATATATGGCCGGGTGGGACTCGGTTCCCGTACTTGCCCTGAGCGACTGGGGTCAGGAACAAGCAGACGAATAGACATAGCAGACATAGTCGTCCCGAGTCCGAGGCTCCGAGCCCCTGACCACTGTAGCGGATGGGACACGACCCCTTCGAGCAACTGAGAGATTTCTGCAAGAATCTGCTGAGCCTGTTCCTCCTCGACGACAGTCGGCGAAATGTAGTCCCCTAACGCTCGAATCTCCGCATTGAGTTGCGAGCCACCATCTTGAAAGATTTGTGTTTCATTCAGATTCTTTAACCATACGGCACGCTTTGGTTCAGTGCGTGACCCGCCAAAGTAGAGAGTCGTGCTCTGGATAGGAGAGGAGGTTATTGAGGCTGCTGCGATCGATTCAGCGCTAGAAGGTAATGGTTTCGAGGATTCCCCATAACTGGTAGTATGACTTGGTGGACGACTGGGCCGAGATCCGCTTTTGACGGTGCTTGGGACGTTGCGAAGCGGACTTGAATCCGAGGTATAGACTCTGCGAATCAAACGTGCGCGGTTGGCGTCGCGGTGCGCATCCAGAGTTTTCTCCAGGCTTTCCGGAACAATCGCACCATTGTCGCTGCTGCAGTCGACAGTCCGATGCAAGCGTCGACAGGGAATTGTCAGCGGAGAGGTGTACCAAGACACATAGTTGCGTGAGAGAAATATTCTTCGTTGCGGGAAGCTTGTCATGGTCAAGCGTCAATGGCAATAGGTACGAGTCGTGCAAAGCACTATTACGGGGAAACCATGATTATGGAAATTTATCTGTAACGTTAGTGGACATACTGAAGACCACGATGATCAGGTGACCTTAGATCAAGCTATCACCACGTGACTAGACCCATATTGTGCAGTAGTTAACCTGACTTAACTACTCCGTAAAGTTGAGTTACTTAGTTAGTCATAAGGGATTAGTTAGTTAACTAGTCAGTTTAATTAACATAACTTAACTACCAGTGCATCTTGCATAGCTGAGTCAGTACTGCACTATGTAACTTATTTACTAATAAGGTAGTTATTGATGAGTAAGTCAACCAATCTTAGGCGAATCAACTCTAGGTTTTCCAGGTTCACATGTCACTGGGGCAGACGGTGACTGCACTGCATTCACTGGCTGGCACTGCACTATAAGGTACCTACTCTCCAGGCTAGGTACCTACAGTACTAACCCACTCACCCGTTCCAGATCGGGTAAGGGCTCCCCTTCCCAGGCCCAAGCCCCCAGTCAATAATAATAGTAATGATGCACTTCCGTCTTCCATCGTCATTCCCGTTTTGTGTACATACCTACTCATAGTCAGAAGCCGACGAACACCTACCTCCCTTTCCAGTGGGGTTCTGAGATTCACTGGTCACTCCTGCAAGTCGGGTTAATGAGGCTAAATCCATGGAAAACAACAGGGATCGATCGTCGGGTTCCTACACGGGACACGAGACCCTGCACAGCATGCCCGACCATTCTCGATGTGCATCGACAATGGGCTCCTTCAGGGACCAAGGGACATGAGACAACAACGCGGCCATGGTACCTAACGCCTGCCGTCGAGTGACTGTGCTTGGGTCGCAGTTGAGAGAGTGTCCGTTGGTAGATGAAATCCGGCACCAGCGCTCCGGTCTGGCACCCATCTCCTCGAGTTATCAATCCAATCAGACCTACGTACCGATTTACCCTCAGGTCTACCTGCAGCTTCGGATCATGACGTAAGGGGGGAAGAAGGAAAGTGGGCGGTTTTTCAGAGTGGGGTGGTTTCGTGCTCAGGCTGTCTCGAGGGCTCGAAGGTCGAGTCCAGTCTCCTCTTGTCCTCTGACTCTTTTTTTCCCGACCAACCATCCTGGTAGGGGGAATGTTCTGTGCGTCGGGCCAATTTCCCGGCCGCGATGTCTCGCATGTCTCGAATGCATCACCAATCCCTCATCTTTCCCAGCAGGCTTCGGAGACTGAACCGGTTTCTCTCTCTCCCTCTTTCTTTCTTTCTTTTGGCGCGTGCGCTCTCTCACTCTCTCTGCCCTTTCCCCGTTTGTTCTTCTTCTCTATATTCTCCACCCGTTATATGGTTTCTTTCCCTTTCGAGTCGCCAGCCCCGCGGAGGCTGGAACCTTTTCGGCCCATCCCATGCCTCCTATTCTTCCCTTAGTCTCTTTACCCTTCTCCGTCTTTCTACCTCACTCGTGCAGGAAGGATTGGAGGTTAGATGCCGGTGGTAGCAAACCACCTTCCGATAGTCACCGGGCCAGCTGATTGCTTGTTGGCTTTGCTTGAGCGCTTCCACATTTGCAGGTGTAGTGGAAGCAATCCGATAAATCTCCCTTTTTTTAATGTTTTCACTCAGTTTTATTCAGTAACTGCTGTACAATTGCGGCAGGCTCTTTTTCTTGAATTGGGAGTCTGGATGGGTTCAGTTGATTCGCTTCCAAGAGCCTGATTGGGAGATTGGGAGAAGGGGGGGGGTGTGTGGGACTATGAAGATGCTGGCTATAAGATTAATATGACTCTTGCTTCGTCTCCCCTTTCCCCTACCTTCCCCCGGTGATTTATTTGGCAAGAAAGTCGGTCATTCATCGTCATCTTCATTCATCGAGCGAGTACCCAGTGGGGTACGTAGTCTAGGAAAGATCCCAACTCCCGATACGTAACCCCCGCGCACTTCACCGCCTCAGGCTGCCTTCGCGCCGGTCTCTTCAAAGTGAACTCTGCTTTCTCTCCTTCCATTTCATAGTTTCCTTTCCTCCTCCTCCCCCTCCTCCTCTTCTTCTTCTTCATTCTCAATCTCTCTCCTACTTTTTCTCAGTGAATTCGATTAGATCGTTGCTTGCTGTTCATATTTCCTGTTGATTTCGCTCTCCCGCCAGCTTTCATGGCCTAATTCGCAACTTTATCGCCGGTCTCCCCCACACCCAACAACACCAACAACCCACCGTTACTACTTTTAGCTTATCTTTTCCCCTCCCAGGGTAACTCGACCCCTCTTCCTCCTACAAACTTAACTCATCGTATTCCCCCCCGTCCTCCTCCCTTCTGCTTTTGCTTCATTTTATATTTATTCCCACACATGGGTGAAAATAGCAGAGCTCATTTTCATCCCCTCCCTCGTTTTTCCCCAAAGTAGAAGAAAAACGCATTGAGCGGGCACTAATCCGGGAAATCATTCCAGCATCCCCGTCGTGTCCCCCGTTCTTGTCCGCTTCCGTCATCATGGCCTCCGAACACCGGGCTTCCACCAACTTACCCGATGGCCAGCCCAATCCGGGTCCCATTGGGTCGGGCCTGAGTGTTCTGGGCGAAGACGCTTTCTTACAAGCATCCAATGCCACACCAGACCTGGCGGTTGAATCGAAACAGCCCGTTGTCTCCGATGGTCCTTCTTACTTCTCCGACGTCGCGACCAACTCACCGGCCGCCACTTCGTCCGTTGTTTTCCCTTCCACGCCTGCTCTGGCGGCTAGAGAAGCAAAATCAGGACGTGAATTACTGCGTCGGTTAAGTCTAGTTGGCACGCCCACGTTGTCAGACATGGATCCCCGTGAGCAGTACCCGGGCTTGCACCTCACCGGTCGGATTATTAGTGCTGCCTTCTGTGTTCCGTACAAACTCTACATGCGATCCGGTTCAGATTGGGTATGTCAGCCCTCCAACCTTCACTCGCTGTCTCCTTTGGGTGGTCGTTATCTCTACAATCGGAAACTCGGCTGACTTGGCTTCAGGAATTGAAACCGCGCCCCGGAACATCTGCCCTGTTTGACTCTCTGGCCTATCTCGGCTCCCAGGACTCGAAATGGTCTCACACCCTTGTTGGCTGGACTGGTGAGGTAGAACCAGCCCAAGAGACGGCGGTACCTCTGCAGCAGATCCCCATCAACACCAGTGCCAAATTCCCTACGACCGTGAACGGGTCCACCATACCTTTGAACAAAGCAGCAGCTCCAGTGCCCGTCGATGCTAACCAACGGCCGCCAAGTCACCCTCTCCTGGAAGGGCTCCGGGTAAGGCAAGCCGATCGAGATCAACTCGATAGGCAAATGAGCTCCACGCGCTATGGGAAAATCGCCCCTGTGTGGCTGTCGGCTGAGTCGGATGCCCCCGAAGAACCCATCCTCTTGGAGGATCAAGGACGGTGGAGACGTTATGCCGAAAGGGAATTATACCCCCTACTTCATTACAAGCAGCATGGTCCTACGGATGGAAGATCAGAGCGCACGTGGTGGGCCGACTATGTCCGTATGAACCGGCTTTTTGCGGATCGTATCCTGAAGGAATACAAGGAGGGTGACATTGTCTGGATCCATGACTACCATCTTTTCCTTTTGCCGAGCATGTTACGCCAACGCATCCCTAACGTCTACATTGGATTCTTCTTACACGCACCATTCCCTAGCAGCGAATTCATGCGCTGTCTCGCCAAGAGGAAGGAGGTGCTCACTGGAGTCCTCGGTGCGAATATGATCGGTTTCCAGACCTTCTCCTATTCCCGTCATTTTTCGTCTTGCTGTACCCGCGTCTTGGGATTCGACTCTAATTCAGCTGGAGTCGACGCGTACGGCGCCCATGTGGCGGTTGACGTGTTTCCCATTGGGATTGACACCAGTGCTATTCAACGAGCAGCCTTTGAATCCACCGAGATAGAGCAAGCCGTGTCGGGAATTCGCAAGCTGTACGCCGGCAAAAAAATCATTGTTGGTCGCGATCGATTGGACAGTGTCCGAGGTGTAGCACAGAAGCTGCAATCCTTCGAAGTCTTCCTCGAAAAGTACCCGGAATGGCGTGATAAGGTGGTTCTGATCCAGGTGACCAGCCCCACTAGCGTCGACGAGCAGAAGGAAGAAAACAAGATTGCTAGCCAGATCTCGAATCTAGTCTCTACAATCAATGGGCGCTTCGGATCTCTAAGCTTTTCACCCGTCAAATATTATCCGCAGTACCTTTCCCCGCACGAGTATTTTGCATTGCTGCGGGTGGCTGACGTGGGCCTGATCACGACGGTTCGAGATGGGATGAATACGACCAGTCTGGAATATATCATCTGCCAGCAGAACAACAATGGCCCTTTGATACTCTCTGAATTCTCGGGTACTGCGGGAACACTCTCCAATGCAATTCATATTAACCCATGGGATACGGTGGGAGTCGCGGGCGCAATCAATAAAGCTCTCTGCATGTCCCCTGAGGAGAAGGCGTTGCAACAGCAGAAACTATACAAGCATGTCACTGCCAACACTGTCTCGGCCTGGTCTAAGCAGTTCCTCACCCGTCTGCTCACGAATCTATCTTCCTTTGATCAGTCCGTGGCAACGCCAGCTCTCGATAGAGTCAAGCTATTGAAGCAGTATCGCAGAGCTCGTAAGAGGTTGTTCATGTTCGATTATGATGGGACCCTTACTCCAATTGTGAAGGACCCGCAAGCAGCTATTCCATCTGATCGCGTTCTCCGCACTCTCAAGACTCTCGCTGCGGACCCACGGAATGCAGTATGGATCATCAGTGGCCGTGATCAGGCTTTCTTGGATGAGTGGATGGGCCATATTCCTGAATTGGGCTTGAGTGCCGAGCATGGATGTTTTATTAGGAAGCCTCATTCCGACGACTGGGAAAATCTGGCCGAGCGAAGCAACATGGGTTGGCAGAAGGAGGTCATGGAAACATTCCAGCACTTTACTGAACGAACTCAAGGCTCCTTCATAGAGAGAAAGCGGGTCGCTCTCACGTGGCACTACCGGCGCGCCGATCCTGAATATGGTGCATTCCAAGCTCGCGAGTGCCGAAAGGCGCTTGAAGATACCGTAGCCAAGCGGTGGGAAGTGGAAGTTATGTCAGGCAAGGCCAACTTGGAGGTCCGGCCGACTTTTGTGAACAAGGGCTTTATTGCCGCCCGCTTGGTCAATGAGTACGGAAATGAGCCTGGAGATGCACCCGAGTTTATCTTCTGCTCAGGAGACGATTTTACAGATGAAGGTATGTCCCCAGCCCCCTGGCGCCATTATTTCTCAGCAAATACTCGGATGCTGACTGCACTCTTCGTTCCCAGACATGTTTCGTGCTCTGCAGGGATTCGACTTGCCACTAGATCACGTTTACTCGGTCACTGTTGGGGCAAGCTCAAAGCAAACAGCCGCCAGCTGGCATCTTCTCGAACCGGCGGATGTGATTGAAACGATCTCGATGTTAAACAATAGCTCTTGCTCTCAAGAGTACTAAACCAATCCACGCGCCTTTTACGACCGGGATGCAGCTCCTTTTTTTTTTCTCTCTCTCTTTTTCTTTTTCGTTTCATCTAGACTTTAGCTTCGCTTTCATGCTTATATAACTCCATGTTTCTCCTCCCGGGGCGTCGATGCGGGGCAGCGATGGTGATTGATTTGTTAGAGCTCAAGGCGATTGGGAAGAGGGCGCTCGTCGGCCATGGAGAGGGGCTTTCTCGAGTTCTTCTTTTGCGGCAGCTCTGGACCGAGGGCCCGTTCTCTTTCCGCTTTCGAATCTAATAGTCGTTGATACTTTTCCTCTTGAACTGGTTTATAGATGGCCGAAGCGAAGATGACGCGCTGCCCCTTCATAAAACTTCTTATGTTGTCGTTGTCGTTCGTCGTTGTCTAAAAGTATCGTGCGCTCCGAAGAATATAGAGAGAACACAAAAACGCCGTTTTAAAACCCACGACTCGTCGACGCTGCATAGCCGAGGAATCATATTGTTGTCTTGGCCCGATTCGGTCTTCTGTGCGAACAAGACCCGGCAGGGAAAGACGCCCTCCGACTGTTCTCCACGATCCGGGGATCTCGGCCTATACTCCGTCCGCACTGAACTGACTGGAGGTTTACCGGTTTACCCCTCCTACGGGTAACTTATGTCTCTTAGTTCTGTCCGCATCCTCTTATGATGTTTCTGCCCCTCACGGACGTGGTGTCGTGTGCTTCGCCAGCCTTCTAGGAGGTTCGATACAGATTGTGGACCTGAATCATACATATTACTGATTTAGAACACCCCCACGGTAACTTAAAGAACAGCTATGAAGACAACGTCGCAACTACCGTGCAGCGTCGATCCAATCAGTCCAGCGCATGGAGCCGGCAAGGGGATCCCGCCAGGGGCGAGCTCTAATGCTCCTCAATCTCCCAATCAATCTGTTCTCTATAGAGATAGAGATCATGTGGGAGATGAGGAAAATGCTATCGACACTCCACGGCCGAAGGAGCTGTCCAAGACCCCAACAAATGTGAGCAATCTTGAGGCCTTGACTACTCGAGGTTTGACACTCATTCGGACGAGGGAATCAGGAAAGAACTTGGGCCCCCCTCCGGACGGCGGCTTCGGCGCATGGTTCCAAGTGGCCCTTGCCCATTTTGTTATCTTCAATACCTGGGGCTATATCAACAGCTTTGGCGTCTTTCAAGACTACTATACTCAGACCCTGAAGCGGCCGCCCTCTGATATATCCTGGGTTGGCAGTATTCAGATCTTTCTACTGTTCTTCATAGGGACTTTCTCGGGACGTGCCACCGACGCCGGATACTTCAAAGTCATCCTGATTCTCGGGGCCATACTCGAGCTATTTTGCATCTTCATGACTTCCCTGTGCACTCAGTACTGGCAACTGTTTCTGGCACAGGGGATCGGCCAAGGGATTGGCTGCGGGCTCATGTTTTGCCCGACTATTGCTTTGATTCCGACGTACTTTACCCAGAAACGAGCCATCGCGATTGGCATAACAGCCTCGGGATCGGCCACAGGAGGGCTGGTCTTTCCGGCAATAGTCATGCGGCTTCTACCCCAAATTGGGTACGGATGGACGGTACGAACGTTGGGCTTCATCTCGCTAGCCACGTTGACACCTTGCTTGATCTTTCTTCAGCAAAGGCTGCCGCCCCGTCGTAGTGGACCACTGATCGAATTGAAAGCCTTCCGGAAGACTTCCTATGCGCTTTTTGCGCTGGGAATGTTCCTGAACTTTTGGGGTCTCTACGTGGGATTCTTCTATATCAGCAGCTTTGCGCAAGACATCGTCGGCGTCTCGGAGTCTACCTCGATTGATGTGCTCCTGGTGATGAACGGGGTGGGCCTGGTGGGTCGCTTGATCCCCAACCTACTGGCGGACTGGTACACAGGTCCGTTGAATATGCTCATCCCCTTCAGCCTGATAACTGGGGTCGTGGCCTATTGCTGGGCGGTGGTAGGGAGCTATAGAGGCCTGTACGCTTTCAGTGCCTTCTATGGGCTTGCAGCGGCCGGCATTCAATCCTTGTTCCCCGCCACATTAAGTACATTGACGACCGACTTGAAGAAGACAGGGGTTCGCATGGGGATGGTATTGAGTGTGGTGGCAGTGGCCGCCCTCATTGGCACGCCTATCGCAGGAGCTCTGGTAGATCGGGACGGCGGACAATATCTATACGCACAGATGTTCATGGGAAGTGCCATCCTGGCGGGCACATTGACTTTGATTGCAGCGCGCACAAGCAAATTAGGTCTGTCCTGGCAACGCGCTTGAAAATGATTCATGTAATCAGAACGGGAGGCAGGAGGGAGAAGGAAAATAAACCGAGAAGAACAATCAATCATCAATATGGGCTGGATGAGCCTCAACATAGTTAACTAACTAACCAGTCAAGTTAGCTACCAAATACCACGATGATTACAATGTGTGAAGAGGTTTTTTGAAGAGGAGGGGGTGGAAACAGTGTTCGATACAAAAGTAAACACTGGACTCGTCTATAATGTAAGCATATTATATATCGGCAATTTGAGGTCTCAGAGATGAGGTGCTTGGAACGTGTTCTCAATTCTGTTGGTGGTTGGAATTAATGTATTAATATATTGATTGATTGATTGATTGATTGATTGAAGCCTTATACCCGAATACACAGTCCTCTATACAAGGCTCTTTTTGGGTCGCCGACGGCCAACCGGCGTGACTACACGCTATATATATAGTTTCTTTTCTTTTTCTCTTTGCTAGTTGTCTGTTTTTTCCCGTATATAATGCTACTGGTCTCTTAAAGATGACTGGTTAGCTTGATTTTTTAGTATTTTTAGTCTTTATTCTATAATTCTTAGAATCTATTAGATTTTAACGTCTTCGGACTGTCTTTTTAGCTAGTTTATCTTACTTTTCTGGTTTTTTAGCCGATTGGTTTAATTTCTTGCCGGTTAGCCCGCCGGGTGTAATAAGATCCTCTTAATTAAATAATTTAACCTCATTCTTAACCGGTTGACAGGCCGGATATAATAAGATTTTCTTAACTAAACAGCTTAGCTAATTAGTTTTTTATATAACCAGTTAGCTATTCTAATATAATAAGATTCTTTTAACTATACGGATATTCGCCGATTAATTAATTTTTTTACTAGTTAGTCTGATTTTCTATCAGTTAGCCTATTTCTAGCCGGTTTTACCGATTAATCAAATTTTTAACTGGTTAGTTTGTATCTTCTTAGTCTTAGCTAGTTAATCTATTTTTTTTACTATAAATTCTGTTTATAAAAATCTTATATATTAATTTATTATTTTTCTGTATATAATTACTTACTAGTTATTTTTATCTATATTTATAGTTATCTTAAAACAGTTTTGTTATAAAAATAATAAGAATTAAAATAAAAAATAAAAAAGTGATAAATAAGACAGCTGCTGCTTGATTTATCTATATTAAAATAATCTATTTTTTTATTATTTAGTTTTTTTATTTTAAACTGCTTTTAGAAATTACTATAGTTTTAAATTAATAAAAATTAGTTAGATTTAATATCTATATTTTTTATTTCCGAAAATAGTAAAAAAGCAGATATTCTAAATATTATATTTAAAATAAGAATCTTATAGTTTTTAAAATATATTATATTTTTATTAAGACTTTTTGTATATTTTAAAAATAACTCTAAAAATTATTTTAGATCTTCCGGTACAGGTCTTTATATATAAAATAAGAAAATAAAATATAATATACTATTTTAGTAATAATATTATACTTTAGATATTATCTAAAGTCTATTTATTTTATTAAAAATAAAAAACAGTTTAGTCCGATCTTGCCTGTACAAACCTAAAAAAATATATTATATTTTACAAAAATAAGATTTTTATATAAATCCAAATTATATTTATTTATTAATATTTTTAAAAAACTATTTTATAGTCTGTATACTACTAGTTTTAGTATTATTTTATTTTTATTAATTATTTAATTTACCGGTTAACAGAGAATTATAAAAATCTAAAATTAATTAATAAAAATATTTATAGATTATTATAGATATTATCTGATATTTAATTAATAGCTTTTTTAGTCTATTTATTAACTAGTTTATTATTTAAAATATTAATATAAATAAATATCTAGTTAAAACTTGTCAAGGAGCGGGCTGGCATCTGGTTCTTAGTCTGGCTGGGTAGTAGGAATAGCAGCTCTAGCTGAATAACTTTCTATAACTAGTTTTCTAAATTCTTTACTAGCTACTAGATTAGACTATTCTTAGATTTATAAATAAAATATAGCTCGAAGAACTATAAATAAAATTAAAAATAAACAGACAGTTAAAAAATTTATAAATTATATATAAAATAGTTAAAAAAAACAGCCGGATTATTAAAATAAAATAGATTAAATAGATTAAACAGATTAAATAAATAAAATAGATAATATAAATAAAATAAATATATTAAATTTATATTATAATAGTATATTTTTTTTTCTAAAACTAAGCTTTATTAAAATATAGATTATAATTTATTAGAATAATAATAGTAGAAATTCTTAATTATTTAATAAATATTTTTAAAATACTAAACTAATTTAATAATTAAATCTAAATATCCGATCTATTTTATAATATATATTAATTAAAAATAACTATATCTTCTATAATTCTATATAAAATTAAAAATATTTTTAATTTTTTAATTTTTTAATTTATTATTTTTATATAAGACAGTAAAAATTAATATTAATCTAAAACTAGTTCTTTATTAATAAATATAAATAAACTAGTATTAAATATAGAATATATTTTTATACTAAAAAATAAAGCTAATTAGTAAATATATAAACTAATAACTTTCTTAATTTTATATAATTTTAGAATATTTTAATTAAGCTTTTTACTAGATTTTAAAATCTTAATATAATAGATATCTAATTATACTTTTTAATTTTTTCTAAATCTTTTTACTAATTTATATTATTAGTTTATTTATTTTATATATTAAATTTAGACGGTTAATATTTCTACTTTAATAAACTTAATAATATTTTATATTTTTATAATAAACTAGTTTATATTTCTAGCAGCTAGATTATTTAAAATAATAATAGATTTAAAATCTATATAAAAATAAAATTTATAATTTATAAAAAATAGAATAGTTTTAATAATATTAAAATAAATTATATTTAAAATAAATTTAGCTAAAAAAAGCTACTAGCTTTAATTATTTTATAAATAATTTATATAAATATAGAAATATTATTTAAATATTATATTAATTTTTTTAATTTAATTATTAGTCTTAAAGTAGTATACTATAAAAAGCTTATTAATAATATTTAGTTATTATATTAGATATTTTTAAAATTTAAAAACAAACTAAAATTTTTTATTAAAAAAAATAAATTAAAATAAACTATATAGTTTTTATATATATTAGATATATATTATTATAATAATAATATTAATAATTAAGTTATAAAAAATTAGATATTTTACTTTTATTAAATAATTAATAATTATTAAAATAGTATTATAGTCTTAATTTTTAAATAAGTATATAATAAAATTTATAAATATATTTTATTATATTTATTTAAATATTAATAAAGGTTTTAGAATTTCTTATTTTATTTTTTTAAATAAGATTATTTTTTAGTAGATATAGTAGTTTTTTATTTATTATTCTATATATTAGTAGATATTAGACTAGTAATATTTTTAAACTAATAGCTTATATACATAAATTTTTTTAAAATATTTAGAAATAGATTTATTATAAACTAGTCTAGTTAGATTAGCTTTAATTTATTTATTATTAAATATTTATAGTTGGTTTTTATAGAATAAAAAGTTTTTTCTTTTTTTATATAATATTAGTAATATATTTAAAAAATAGTTTTTATTAGTAATTAGAGCTTTTAATATTTTTTTAATTTATTTATTTTTTTTATATATAGTACAAAGAGATTTTTATACTTTAAATAAAAATTATAAGTCTTATTTAACTTTAAATATTATATTTTTTTAGATATGCAAGATAGATACTAGTTTTATTTTTAGTATATTTTTTATATTTTTTTTAAGAATATTTTTTTTATTATTTTTATTTTCTAGTAGAGTCGGGAATAGTATTAATAAATAAATAAAATTAATATTTTCTTATTTTAAAACTACTTAGTTTTAATATAATAAATATTTATTTTTTTTAAAAGATTATCTAACTTTTTGATTAAACTATTAGACTTAATTCTATATTTTCTAAATTTATAAATAATTTTAAAATTAAAGTATAATAAAAATTTAAACTATTAGATCTATTAATAATTTAAAAGCTTAATAAATATAAAATATTTTAGATTATAATAGTTAATAATAATTTTAATTAAAAATAATATTTCTTCTAACTTAAAATATTATTTTTTAAAATAGCAGATAATAATAAATAATTTTTTATTATAAATCTTATAATTATATTCAGCAGAAGTATATTTTTTAAAAAAATATATAATAAAATATAATATTCTATTATTATTATACTAAAATAGGATTTTTTTTAATATATAATTAGAGATATTAGTTTCTAATATAATATTATAGATTTAGTTAAATAATTATAAAATTAGTATTTTGATAAAAGTATTTTTAAATATAATAAATATTTTCTAATAATCTAAAGTCTATATAAATAGAATATTTTTTTTATTAAATAAAAAAGCAGAATAGTTAGTTTTAAAAAATTATAAATAAATTAATAATAAAAATTATTCAAGTCTAAAAAAACTTATATATTAATTATATAAATTAAAATAAACTATTTAACTATAGTCTTAATTTTTTTTAGATTTATATAAAATCTATTACAGTCTATAATTAAGTCTAGAAACTTAATTTTAAATATAATAAATTTATATTTAAATAACTTAATATAAAGTCTTTTTTTTTAACTTTTCTAGAATATAATAGATATATTCTAAATATTTTTTATAAATATAGCTATAAATTAAAATATTATTTAAATAAATAGTATAAAATATATTAAAATAATCTTTTAGAATATTATTAATATATTACTAGAATATAATAGAGGCTCCGGTTAGTCTAAATAATATTATAAATATTTTATATAATTCTAAGTAAATTTAGAATATAATAAAAAATTTTTAGTTTTTTTTAATCTTAATATTATTAAAGATACTAATAATATTAATCTTTATAAAATATTTTATTTTTTTTAGATTATTTAAAATCTTTTTTATAAGCGGGAGCGGGTATCTGTTTTTTATA